TTCAGAGCCGGCAATTAGATGTTTTAATTTCTTCCACATGCACTTTGCCAATTTGTACGATGGGGTTCCTGGTAACGAGACGATTGGACGCAATGGGACTCCGTCTTTGTGTACCTTTGGTAGTCCATAGAACCTTGCAATGTTTGTATCCTCAGCTTTCATCTTCCATCGCTCCTGCTTGGTAATCTCATTCGTTGCTTGTAGTTTCTTCAATGCTGTGTTGATTTGAGTACTCAGTTTTGTACTAGGATCCTGATCTGTGGGACGATAGGTGGTTGTGTCGGAAAGGAGTTGTTTAGCTTTTGCAACGTAATCTGGTTTATCCATTATTACTGCCATGCGTCCCTTGTCAGCTGGTAGGATTACAATATTGTCTTCCTTTTGTAGCCTTCTGAGTCCTTCCCGTTCTTCTTTTGCAAGAGTATGTGTGAATTTGTTACGAGTTATCGCAGGGACAACTGTTTGTCTAATTTGTTGCCGCGATTCTTCTGATAGTCTGTTTGTGTTCAAAACTTGTTCCAGATTTGCCAAGTAATCCTTAGATGATGCATCTTTTGCGTTAAAGTTTAGTCCTTTGATTAGTATGTTCTCCGTTGTGCTGAGTTGACGGCTAGACAAATTTTTGATCCATCCTTCACTGTTGGGGTGGTCAGACTTTCTTGTAAGCTTATCCAACTTGATATTCAGTGCCAAGTTACGCTGGCTTCTGATGTTGCTTACTCGACGTTGAATCGCGGATTCAAGCTCTGCAAGTTTTTGGGGTCCCATCGCAATAAGGCAGTCAGTTTTATTGTCATTTATGACCTTTTCATACTTTCGAAGGCGATTATGGGCATCTGTTATCATTAATTTGACCATACGGCAGTCAACCTGCCGAGCTCAGCGAACAATCAGACAACCAACTGAACAACCTGAGCTACCAACATTTGCTTCGATATTGTACGTATATTTTCGTACATCGGTGTATTGCTTGCCTGCCGTAAATCAGCACAAATTTATCGTTCTTTCCCTAGGTACTGCCAAGAAGAGGATAGAAATGGAGCATGCAGTGGACACCCGCCTTAGCGATGCCGACCGCATCGCATCAGTCAGACGGTCTTAATGCCACATCCGAAGACGTGATGGCTTCTGCCGAGGAAACTGTCTTGCGCAAAAACTGTAAGAGGCCCGATTGGTTTAATGACAACAGTGAGACCATTGGCGCATTGGCGTCGTATATGAATGCAGCGTCCGCTGCACATGTGGTAGACCCTGTCGCTTCCGAGGAGAATCAGTTTCGCGAACTTCGACGGCACCTGACTTGTAAGCTCCGTCGCATCAAGAATGCATGGTGGACGGAGACGGCGAAGCAAATGGCATGTTCTGCCGAACGTTGTCAACACAAGAAGTTCTTTGACTCCTTGAAGGCGGTGTATGGACCCACGTTGCAGCCTCTGAGTGTGCTGGTGTATGGTTCTACAAGCGGTGTCTGTATACACATTGCAGACGTTATGCAGATCTAGCGCACTCACTTTTGCTGTCTCTTGAACGGCTGTTCAGAGATTGTCTGCGCTACGTTACACGAACTGAAACAGCAAGAGATGAAGATGTGTCTTCCTGACACGCCGATACTGGATGAGATGCAGAGAGCACTTGCTCAGCTGCGAAACGACAAATGTGCCGGAGCCGACGGGATACCGCCATTGGTGTCCATAACACGGCTGGCCCGCTTTGGTGAATGTGATGCACCATGTTGTGAATCACGTACGTGCTGACCTCAAAGCCCGTACGCTCGACTCGAAAGATGTCTAAAAGGAACACTTTTCCGAGCTATGTAGGGTACTCTTTCGTTGGTTTATACAGTCTTTCCTCTAATTGACCTTGAAACTGGTCATGCGGTGAGATGTCATTGGTTGAACCAAGGTCCGACCGTAAGCTGAAATATTCACCTTCTAGCTGGAATGCTGGACGTTGTATCCGTCCGATTTCGTTAGGCTGTGCGTCCCATAACATCTCTCCCTTTTGAATGAGTCACATCACTCTTTAACGGGCTTCATTTAATTCGGAATCATTGGCTTCCGGCTTCTATCCGTCTATCTTCTTGTTCGTGACTCCGATATAGATGTAAGAAGTAGTCTCCTGTTCAGGTTTGGAGTCTTATGGGCTGTTACGGAACGTATCGAGGAGCAATCTGACGGCAACATGTTCAGCGTTGGCGATGCATCCGGAAACGAACGGGTTGTAACTGATAGGCCTGTCGGATCCAAACTTCGGAATTAACAGCAGGCACCTTCGGATTTAGAGTTATCCTCTAGGCAAAGAAAAGTATCATAGAACTCGGCCATCGGTCTTTCTCTTTTCGCTTTCAGTACTGCTCTCTTGAAGGTATGCACGAATCGCTCTGCTATGCCATTCGACTATGTATGGTATGGAAGTGACCTCATGTAGATTATGCCGTTTTCTTTCAGAAGTCGACGAAAATCGCTGAAGTGAACTGTTTTGTTGTCATTCATTAATGTGTCTCGATACCCGAAGCGACTGAAAACCTGACGAAATGCAGTAATGGTCGCTGAAGCAGTAATCGATGGCACCTACAGAACCTCTGACTACACTGTAGACGTCAATTATGATAAGGAATTTTTCCATTACTTAGTCCTGCATATTTTGCATGGATCCTCGAGCATGGTTGCACGATCAATACAATACATGTCAGCCGAGAATGAGGAACACAGCTAATCTGTCGCAGCATGGTTTTCCAGGATCCGACTGACAGTGTAGCTCTGTTTTCCTTGCCAGCTTCGATGCAAGTACGCATATTGAGCAAGAGCGGACAAGTTCTTCGACTTGATCATCAACTTGAGGCCAGTATACCTAGCTTTTGGTCAATGCCGTCATCTACTTTATTCCTGGGTGTCCGGTGTGGAACTGTCTCAGAATTCGGTTGAAGTTCCATGGGAAACACCACTCAATGTGCAGAAAAGTAGACATCCGTGGCAATTAACAGGCAGTTCCGACGTTGATATAACGGCTTCAGTTCCATTGTGTTCAAACTTTTAAGGCCACTTTTATCTCTGGAAGCGGAACACTTGCTGCAGCATTTCTTATGTGCTGTTGCGGTACTTATCTGAGAAACTGTTACTGGGATGGCTTTAAGTTCACCTGCTGTAACGCAACGAACTTCAGGCTCGATCGTCCTGTGCCTCCTGTCGATCTTTGTCCATGAGGCATGGCAAAGCATCAGCCTGATCAATGTTCCCAGTCGATTGGTACTTGCTTTCAAACTCGTATCCCAAAACAATTGTGACCTACCTCTGAATGGGATTTGCAGAGTACACGGGCATGCCTTTCTTTAACCTAAGAGAGCAATTATGAACTTGTGATCCGTGGCCAGAGTAAAATGGCGACCATAAAGCATTTTTTGATGGCGTAAATGATCGTCAATGCCTCTTTCAACTTGGCTGTTATTGATTCTGTGGGCGTCAACGATCGGACCCCCTGAGCGATTGCCTTCTTAGTTCCGCCAGGAAAGCGGGGAGATAAAATGTTCCGCCTCCGTAACTAGACGCATCTGTAGGAACAATAATATCCTAGCTCGGATACTAATGGATCGATAACAGGTCTGACGATAGCATGACTTTGATCCAGTCAAAGACCTGGTAACATTCTATGTTCCAGCATTACTTGGAATCCTTTAGAAGTGATGCGTTCAATGGACCCCGTATGTCACGCATTGCTAGCAAAAGTGCACTGTAGTGACTCATCAATCCCAAGAAAACTCGTAGCGTTGTCACATCATGTGGCGGATACATTTTCTGGATGGTCTCAATATTAGCGGGATCTGGTCTTCAACCATGTTAATCATTGATGAATCTCGAGTATTTTACCGAATCTATGTAAAAGACACTTTTATTCTCAGACGGAAACCATGATCCTGGACCTCATCAAGCAGGTTTTCAATCCGGTACCCTAGATCCGTCGGATCAATGCCCATGATAATGATATCGTCGAGATATGTTGGGACGAATGGAACATGCTGTCCGTGATCTATTGATTAATGGCAGCTACCATTTTTACCGCAATGGCAGCCGTGTGTATCAAAACAACGCGGTGCGTATTGGTGGTCAGCAGCTCTTAACAATCTTCAGTAACGTCCGCTTGAAGATATGCGCCCAACAAGTCTAGTTTGGCGAAACATTTGCCACCATTAAGTCTTATGCACAGTTCATCTGGTAGAGGGGACGGATAGTGATGGTTTTTCCAGCCAGCATTCAGATTGGCGGAGAAGTCTACAAATTCGGACTTTCCCATTTGGTTTTGTTAGGAGGTTTGCCTCCAAACGAATTCGTTCTTTTTGTTGACACTTGTGTTCATTAACTACAGCTACATTTCAGCTCATCACTGGACTGTGACGTTCTTTCCACTGCACTACGTTTAATCTCTGGACTTTCCCACCCGGAGATACATCTTCCATCAATGCTTGTTCGTCTTCTCACCTTCCGTGTGTTGACATTGTGGTTGATTGAAGTACCTAAGAACATAACAGATTTTCTGACCAATACAATTGGAGCGATCAATACTTAGTAGTTCACACTTTGAAAGATGCTAGATGCAGCCATCGAAACCGGCTCGCTCTGTCTGGAACATCCCGGATAATGGTTGTATGTTGTCTGTAGCCAATTGGCTAGCCAATGAGGGTAAGCGAGTAGTATCGGTTTACCTTGAGAAGTGGAGCAATCAGAATGGCCTGCCTTGAAGCCCTCCAGTAAGCGCACTACTTGGTCAGCATACAAGCGAGTTTTTTGCGTATCTAGTAGTTACTATAGTCAGGAACTTTCAATTATCTATTCATTTTTTATTTTGACCCCATATTTTGGCTGTACATTCTGTCTTCCAGGTGCTCCACACATGTTCCGCCAGAGGCCTTTGTCTTCTGCTTTGTGAAGTGGCTGTATTGTGACCAGATTGGCTGCATTGGTTATCCGTACTGTCAGCGGAAACAACGTTTTTTTGCGACGGGGCAGAGTTATTCAAGCTGTCAATCTCAGTAGAAAATCTGAAAGCTATTTTGCTTCAACAGAACCAGCAATTCGAGGCGACACAGCTGCGTATGATCGAGGCTTTCACACGTACACTACCGCTCCAGTCTACATCAGTGTACAATGCTGAAAAGCCTTCAGTTGATGCAATAATCATCGGTTTCCGTGAGTTCGTTTTTGATCCTGCTTCAGGATTGCTTTTTGATGCATTGTTCAGACTTTACGAATATATTTTCAGTACGGAGCTGGCAAATCTTGATGATGCGTCAAAAGTACGGCTACTGCCACGTAAACTCGGAACTTTGGGGCACGACAGGTACCTCAATTACATTTAGCCCAAAAATGCTCAACTTTTCAGCTTTGATGAAACAATTTCCCGACTTACGGAACTGTTCGGCGATTAGACATTGCTTTTCGACAATCGGTACAATTGCTTGAGGCTGTGCAAGAGGGACAGCGACAGTCTCATTGTCCATGCAGCCACAGTGAAGCGAGTGCCAGAAATTCGAACTGAAATCACTTGCTGATGGCTAATTTGAGTGTCTGATATTGGTATGCAGCCTGGAATCTCCAAAGTATGCCGAGATCCGAACCAGAATACTCGAATTGTTGGGGCGAGATCAGGATGTCACACTGCAACCTGTCATTGCGGAGGCCCAGAGAACCATCAATTTAAAACACGATACATTTATGGTCGAGGATACAAAGGCGCATTTCAATGATTTCACTGTTCAACAGATTTCGAGGAACAAGTTTCCTGCCGCTGATCACTAGGAGACTCCTCAAGGCAAACCACCATCAGAATGTTGGCAATGCGGAGACTTGCATTTTGTTAACTGGTGCCCGTTCAACAAGTATATCTGCCAGAAATGTCGTAGACGTGGGCACAGAGAAACTCATTGCAGGTCCAAGCCATCTTTCAGACCAGTTCATGCACGAAAGAAAACCTATGGCCTTTTCGCGAAGAGAGTGAACGCCAATTTTACTGACGATGCTAGCGATTGTAGAAAGTACATCGTTGGAAGATAGGCGCGTTTACAAATCGGTACGGCCTCAGACCTTACGGTCATATCATAAAGGCTCTGGAGACTTGTCGGGTCACCAGAAAAGTGCAGGCGAAAATTGCATCAGGTGCCGAGTTGAAATTGCTTAGTCAGGTCGACTGTGAGTGTCGTTATGCAGACTATACTGCATAGGGAACAATTTTCGTAATGAGCCAGCAGAATTCGTATCTTCTGAGTCTGGACTGAATCGAGCGTTTCAACCTACATGATGTTCCGATCAACCATATTTGTGCAAGTGTCCAGATACACAAGACAACAGCTCCTAAAACTGTAGCCATCGAGCGCCGACGGGAGAAATATGCAGTAGTCTTTCGGGAAGCTCTCGGTAAGTGCACCAAAGTGCAAGCTTCACTATCTCTTAAGCCCGATGTTGTTCCAGTGTTTCGTACGAGACGTCCTGTACCTTACGCAGCAACAATGGTTGACCAGAAACTGGATTGCTTAGAGAGAGCAGGAGTTACACATCCGGATAATTAGTCTTGGGCGGCTCCCATTGTTGTGGCCAGTTGGCACATACCTCTAGCGGTCATGGGTTCGATCCTCAGTAGGGGACTGAGGGAATACGCACCACTGACGAACCCCAGTAGGGCGAAACGCGTGTGGTGTTTTTACGGACTAGGCTGTTCTATGTAGCTTGTGAACTTCTGGGATAAATAACTTAAAATTACAACTACTGCTACTTATGAGTAATATAAGAAACCAAACGGTCAGATTCAAATATGCGCCGATTTCTCGACGGGTCTAAATGCTGCATTGAACGCCCATCACTACCCTTTATCGCTCCCAGATGATTTATTCGCAAAATTGAATGATGGTAAATGTTTCGCAAAGCTGGATCTCTCTGATGCATACCTGCAGATCGATGTACATGATGCTTCACGAGAATTACTCATCATCAATGCGCATTGAGGCTTGTACCGTTATCACCGTCTCCCCTTTGGACTCAAGTCAGCACCAGCCATATTTCAGCAGATCATGGACACAGTGCTAACAGAGATCGATGGAGCAGCCGCATAGCTAGACGACATGATTGTTGTCGGAGGCAGTACTGATGACCTATTCGAAAAGTTAAATCGGGTTCTTAGCCGTGTTGAGGAATATGGATTCGGATTCCGACTTGAGAAGTGTACCTTTTTATGGACTAGATTACGTTTCGGATTTATAATGGACAGGAACGTCCAAACCCAGCGGACATCGAGGCAATCAAGAAGATGCCGCCATCCAGAAATGTTGCAACGCTAGGTCCTTCCTAGGACTCATAAGCCACTACAGCCCTTTCCTGCCGGACATGCATCCCTTGCGTGGTCCACTCAATGACCTGAAGACCAAGCATAAACGCTGGAACTGGTCCGAAGAACGCCAGAACTCGTTTGATGAGGTAAAAAGGCTACTATGTTCCTATCTTCTGCTGACACATTACGACCGTACTTTGAAGATTCTGGTGGCCACAAACGCCTCGAGTTACGGCATTGGTGCAGTCATAGTCCACAAGTTCGCACATGGTTCAGAAAAGACAATCGCACATGCAGTCCGATCGCTGGCTGCCACAAAGCGAAATTATGGCCAAATAGAGAATAACGCCTTGGCGATAGTCTTCGCTGTAAAAAAATTTCCCAAAATGCTGTATGGAAGGACATTTACACATTTTACTGACCATAAGCCGCTGTTAGCAATTTTCGGATCGAACTCGGACAACCCTGTCTATACAGCAAGCAGGTCGCAGCGGTGGGCTACTACATTACTCGGCTGCGACTTTACGCTGAAGTACATTCCTACAAAAGACATTGCTCAAGATGATGCACTTTCCCGGCTATTGGAAAGCCAGCAGCGTTAACAAGAAGAATCTATCATTGCAGCGATTTCTCTGGAGTCTGAAGTGGATCAGGTGTTATTGGAAACGCTTAGAACTTTCGGTAACTTTTGAGAGGGAACGTGATGCATCAATGCGTGATCCTGTCCTACAACAAGCGGTCAGATTTCACGGTGGCCGAAGGACAACCTAGATGGGGAATTGCAAAGTCTATCCCGGAGAAAAGTCAAATTATCCATCGTCAGTGGTTGTTTACTTTTAGCGGAAAGAGTTGTTATTCCCATGGAGCTTCACCAAATAATTCTGCAGCAGTTTCATCGTGGACACCCTGGCATTAACAGAATGAAAATGATTGCGCGGAGTTACATTTACTGGCCAAATATCTACTCGGAATTGGAACAGGTAGCGAAATCGTCTCCGAAATGTGCGCTTGTAATCAAGGCGCCCAGAAAAGCGGATTTGTCTTCTTGACAGTTGTCAGCGAAACCGTGGGAGCGAGTACACGCGGATTTCTTTGGTCCCGTGAATGGACAACAGTATCTCATCGTTGTTGATTCCTTCAACAAGTGTCCGGGGATGTTTGCATGGAACGCATAGCAAGTGGCGTAACAATTAGTGTACTGAGTAGACTTCTCGGCCAGCATGAAACATCAGAAACCCTGGTTACTGTCAATGGCCTTCAGTTCGCATCTTTGCAGTTCGCCGAATACTGTGCGCAGAACAGTATCACACACCTCCGCTCGCTGCTGTTCCACCCGCAGTCTAATGGGCAAACTGAGCGCTTTGTTGATAACTTTATACGGACGTTGCTGAAGATGAGGTGGCAAGTAACTACCCAAGATATATTGATGTTTTCCTTCTACCGTACAGTTCAACTCCGAACCCCCAGGTGTCCCTAGCAGAAGCGCTTACGGGTAGAAAACTTCGTACTCTGAATTCCTTGCTGCTTCCGAAGCAAGAGAGGAATAGGAGAATGGAAAATTACTTCAATCAGCGGCACAGGACGCAAGTACGTCTATCTCACCCAGGATAGTGTTTTAGTCAAAGACTATCGCCCTAGAACATCACAGTGGACCACAGGCTCAATCGACTGCAGACTTGGACAAGGGTTGTATAGATTTCTAGTGGGTTCTATGGTTTGGACCAACTGCGGCCTACCAGCATTCAGATAGGTACCAGTGAACGATCGCTGCCGCTGGATATTCTGCTGGACAATTTCGACATACGCCCTGGAACTCAGGAGCCACCTACTGAGCCTTGTCCAGTGACCACAGAAGGAACTAGCATGCAACCAGGACCACGGACTGATCGGATACCGAGATTCGTGGTCAGAATGCAGCTGGATTCCAGGATGAAGTTGTACGTCACTTTTCGCGAAGGATGTGTTACCGGAGCCCGTACATAGCAGCCATCGAAGCCAGCTCTCTCTGTCTGAAGCAGCCCGGAGAATGATCGTATGTTGCTTGTAGCCAATGAGGGTAAGCCAGTAGTATCGGTTTACCTTGAGAAGTGGAGCAATCAGAATGACCTGCCTTGAAGCCCTCCAGTAGGCGCACTACTTGGTCAGCTTACAAATGAGTTTTTGCGTATCTAGTAGTTACTATAGTCAGGAACTTTCAATTAGGTCTTCTCTCTCCTGAACTATTTATTTTGAACCCATATTTTGGCCGTACATTCTGTCTTCCGGGTGCTCCATACAAATTCTGCCAGAGGCCTTTGTCTTCTGATTTGCGAAATGGCTGTATTGTGACCAGATTGGCTGCATTGGTTATCCGTACCGTCAACGGAAACACAACAAGTCTATTGTAGTCTCTACTATTCTTGATCAACGGTTGGTAACGCCGCACACGCTACTGGACTTTTGGGCCGGAAGACATGTTTTGCGTTGTGTCGGAGAAACAATACTGCCTTGATTTTAATTCGGCAACTAAGTTCATTCCGGGATACTTGAGTGAATTTACGGCGTAGATGCTCTGACAGCACATTACTGGGATGAGTGCTTGCAGATGGAACACACAGAGCTAAGTGAGACATCCAAAAGCCTCATTTTTACGATCCAGTCGAGTCCCAATAAGTTTAGATTTGGCCGATTAGCAAGGTAACATGGCACGGAATTGCACCTTATTGAAAAATACGTCATATAACTTCACCTGTGAGTTTCAGGACTCCACCCGGGGGCATTCAGTGCTGTACGGTTTGTCGGCTTTAGAGAAGATTGACCATTCATCTTCCTTGTGCTTTGCGACAATGAAATGATATCAAATGCTGTATTGAGCTGGATACGCACGAGAGTGTTTATATTCACACGTATGTACGCCGGTGTTTTGCGTCCGCGTCGATTGTAGCCATAACAGGATTTATTTTGTACAGAGATTTTCTTCCGGTTTTTTGAACTGGCTAGACGGGGCCTTCGGAAGTGCTCCATTGTATGTGCAGCAATGATCCTCTTTGTGTCCTCTTTTGTGACACTTCTGACAGCGGTGCTTTTTGAATGGGCACAGTCGGACATAATGCCAACCAGACACTATACACGTTAGCTGGAGGTGGGAAACACCTCAGCTACTGTGCCGCAATACCTAAAAGAAAAAAGGGAATAAAATACAACATGTGCAAGGCACCTGAGCTACCGGTAACGGATGGGCATCGTTCCGGTAAGCTACCTGCCGGCTACTATGAAGCAAAAAATCATTTACTATGCAAAATTATAAGTTGCCGACCATCACACTGGAAGCAGGCTGTTGGGGGTTTGTTGAAGGTGCCGCTTCCAGAGGAATTATTGGGCTTTGCTGGGGTGCTTTTTGTCCTAGCATACACGTTACCGAAGCCAGGAACTGTTTCTCGTCCAGTCATGGCGGTGTTATGTTTCATGTTCAACAAACGGTGGCACTCTGGAGTGGCTGTTCTGATTCATGGTAGGATCCTGCTCCACCTTACTGAGTAGGCGGGTACGAATATATCTGGAGGCGGTTGTAAGCCACAAACAAATATTATATATTTGCAACAGTCTATGAATAGACATAAAGCCATCAGAAACCATGGAACACAAAAGAAGGTACAGAAATTGTAAAGTAAAACACAACACAATACATTAAAGCCCATTGTTTCGTCAGATGGCGAAATACTACCCGGTTGCTAAACCCGAAGTAGGGTGTTGGCTTAGGTGACACCACCCCGAGCCTTTGGCTGAATAGCCTGCCCGCAAGCCAGCAGAGTGAATTCAGGGAATCGCGCCCATTGGGAGTCGGTGACTGATTGCTCAGTTCGTACGCCCTTCGTTTGTTCCTTTGTCAAACAGGGGCCAATGATCCTCAGAATTACAGCACAAAGTTGCTGGAATACAATGCTTCGCCAGGGTGAAACAAGGGGCAGTGACTTTGTTTAGTGGCGAGTCACGTCCGCCACGTCACAGTGTTGTTAGACAGACATATGTGACGTTTTATAGGGAGGACGCTTGCCATGCGAAACCTTATCACGTCCTGAAACTGTCGCCGAACCATTTGCTGAAACGGGAAAATCCTGAACCACCCAGTTGGCACCACGAGGAGATTGTTAGGCAAGCCAGCCACAAACAAATACCAGGCACTTGATATTGGTCTTCCGACGTTTTCCTTATGCTTGAACCGTTCACCATGACGGTTAACTATTGTCGGATAAAACACGAAATTACCACAGGCGCTTTTGACAAGTTGCTTACAGGAATACCGCACCTAATGCGGAGTGGAGTCAGATGGCTCTAACCTAAGTCCATTTCGAAACAAGGACCATCATATGTTGCTAACATTAAAGCGGTAGTTGCCTTTGACCACCGGCGCCTGATCCTTTTTGTGATTTCTTTTGGCGCTACCTTTCATTTCTCAATTTCTCCTGTTATTGTACGTATACTCGCGTAGTCGACTCACTTATCATCGGTTCTTTTCCCTTCAGTGCATTGCGCTCTTAACATGTCCGGTCCGAGATCTGTCAAATTGAGAAAGAGCAAGGTCGAAAATGAGGTTGAAAAATGCAGAAGTGAGGAGTGCTGGAGTAAAGCTTTAGAATTGTTGTTACCTCATAAGAATGATTCGGGCCTGGGTGAGTGATTCGGCACACTTTTAGTTCATCCTCTGTTAGCCTACTTATATTCCTTGGTCATGTGTGAAAACATTTTGGAAGTGTTCGAGCACGCATATATTTCCGATGAGGAGATTGAACGCGCTGGTATCTTTTTACTGGAAGCCCTAAAAACTCCCGATGACCAGTATCTGCTAGAGGCGAACATTTTACGTGGGAAGTTGCTGTATATTGGCAGAGGCTTCGCGGAATCACTGACACTTTTACAGAAGCTGAATCTTCCTTCAATCAGGGCAGAGAACTACAGTTCGCGACATATACGACTTGTGAGTGAAGGTTTGGCCATTATAGGTTTGTTTACCTTCATTGATTCATTGATTTTAAGGGGTTTGCCGTGAAGAATTCGCCAAAATGTCCCGCAGATCGTTGTCTGAGAACGAAAGGCTAGAAGCGTTGTCTCATTACGACCTTTCATTGGAACTTTGCTGTCGTCATTTCCAAGAGTTGTACCAAAACAATTCCGATCTATCCTCCGCAGTTGTCAGCTTTCCCAAAGTCGTTTTTATTGGCATTCAGCGATTGTTTACGCTTGTTCGCCAATTTGGGTACGTTTTCTCGCTGATTCAAGTAACTTCACGGTAACAACTTGTTTAAAATGTTATTGTACTCAAGTGTCTATAGAATTGAAGATTGGTAGCTCAGGTTGTACAGATAGCTGTTGAAATGTTCGCTGAGCTTGGCAATTTTGTTGCAAACGTTTCGTCACCAATCGAGGCGACATCATCAGTGCGTAGTCGAGTGGCGTGCAATTGCGTAGAGTAACGTAGAGTAGCTACTCTACGCGCTTGCACGGCGCTCAACTGCGCACTGATGATGTCACCTCGATTGGTGATGAAACGTTTGCAACAAACTTGCCAAGCTCAGCGAATAGTTCAACAGCCATTGTATTCACTTGTAGTAACTAATCCGATTGATTTTTCGTCACTTTTAATCGTTGTTGGCTGAAATATAGGCTTCGATATGTTGCATATGAACGTTTCGGACTGCTTTTGATTATTCCAGCATGCATGTGAGTGACATATATATATATATATATATATATATATATATATATATATATATATATATATATATATATATATATATATATGTCACTCACATGCATGCTGGAATAATCAAAAGCAGACCGAAACGTTCATATGCAACATATCGAAGCCTATATTTCAGCCAACAACGATTAAAAGTGACGAAAAATCAATCTGATTACTTACTACAAGTGAATACAATGGCAGTGACAGGCAAATCCGAAACCGGATGCCGCCAACCATATATATATATATATATATATATATATATATATATATATATATATATATATGTATATATGGTTGGCGGCATCCGGTTTCGGATTTGCCTGTCACTGTGGCAAGCCACAGGACGCCTGCGCCTACAGAGGAACCATGGATGGCTTGCGCCGCACCACCCACAGCTCCAACCACATACCCCATATCCAGTGTAAACCCGAAGGAATAAGACCGGGAGGCATGCGGATGGGAACCACGTTTCATCAACGGAGCCGGCCCACACTCCTTCACAGGCAAACACAAGCACACTGTATTTGGGAATCAAGCGCACACAAGGCGGTGGCTGGACCGTAGTCCGCTCCACACTGACTGCATGGAACCACTCTTTGATCCTAACACGGCCACAAGGACCGTGCACCCTGTCCCCTCCAGCAACGACTAACTGTCTCCTGGAGCCAGTATGGACGAGGTGGTGGGTAATAGACAGGTAGGCACCTTGTCAACATGCACATCAAGCGCATCCACACCGGGGATATCAAACAACAGCCAAACACTTGAAAGAGAGAAAGAAAAAGAGAAAAACTCGATTAATGCATAAGGAAACGGTGATATAAACCTTAATTAAATAGCATATGTAATAAGTTGATTACAAACAAATCCTAGCTAAGTGCACGAGGTCAGGAAGTATAGTTCACGGAATGCCACGAACGCAAAAATGTTATGGAAATCGAATACAGTTGTCTTAGGCGATGTGTGCAAGTTAATGAGATAGAGTACAGGGAGATATTTATATGAGAAAGAAAAGCATTAAGGTAAAATCTGTAAACCCACCACCTGAAATAAAGAGACTTAGCATGCAAGCACGTGGTTCGTAAATCGAATTCAGCGTGCCTACAAACGCTGTGCCGGCTCGCCGTAATTCTCTGTAGGACCCGTCGTCGCTTCTGTAGTGGTCCCTAATGGCATAGCTCATGGCCCACTAGACATTTATATGAGAAAGGCATTAGAAGAGAACCGAAAACCCACCACCTGAAATAAAGAGACTTAGCATGCAACCATGCGGTTAGTTAATCGAATTCAGCGTGCCTACAAACGCTGCACCGGTGCTGCCTACGTTCACTGCAGCACACGTCGTCGCTTCGGCAGTGGTCCCGAGTGACCTCTCTCATGGCTCACTAGGCCTGCCTGACTAAGGCACTCGCGACCGCATGTTCTACGACACAATGCGCTCGATGTCGATGGAGTACAATTCATCGGTGCTTGCCGCTTCCGCACTTGCCGCTTCTTCTCTGCATGCATGAGGGCTTTCTCCCGCACCTCAGCAACTGCCTTCGTGATTAGATCGCGCCATACGCGCCGATCAACCGCCTTCGATTCCCATGATCTGCAATCAAGATTAGAACGTGTGATGCTCACTTTAATCATATCCTGGTAACGTAACTTTGGTTTCCCCATGTGCCGCTTCCCAATACTCAGCTGACCGTATAAAAGTTGTTTCGGTATTCGCGTCGAATCCATACGGCTCACATGACCGAGCCATCTCAAGTGTCGCAGTAAAAGTATGCCGTCCACTGCATACATCCCACTTCGGCGCAACACTTCCGTGTCTGCGACTCTGGCGCCCCAAACGATCCGCAAAATTCGTCGCAGACACTGCTGATGGAACCGCTCGAGATATCGCACATCCCGACGGTACATCGTCCACGTTTCACTGCCGTATAGAAGAACGGACAGTACCATGGATTTGTACACCATCAGCTTCGTGCCAATGCTAAGCTGATGGTTGTTCCACACTCGGTACCCAAGCTTCCCGAATGCCGCTGCCGCCTTCGACACGCGACTACGCAACTCAACGTGTAGCTGCTGATCAGTCGACATCACACTCCCAAGGTAGCAGAAGCGGGAGGTGATTTCCAATACTTCAGCACCAATGCTGATTTGCGACAATATTGAAGATTGCACCTCCGGTGAAGGCTGAAAGAGACAGACAGTTTTGCTTGTGTTGATGGTGAGCCCGAATTTGGCCGCTGTCGAAGCCAGAGCACTAGTCATGTGCTGCAACTCATCCGCGCTGTGGGAAAACAACGCACAGTCGTCAGCAAACAGCAACATACGGATAGTTGTCTCACAGACTAGAGTTCTCGCACCGAAACGACGGATGTTCGGCAACCCACCATTAATACGGTGCTCCACACGAACACCGTAAGCACAAGCCGCATCAAAAGCTGAGAAGATTATAACAAATGGCGACGGAGAAAAGTGGAGATGTGATGAATTTTTCTGCCGAACAATTTCAAAAGCTGCTTTTTCAACAGCAAGCTCAATGGAGGCGCAAATGAAAATGATTGAAAATCTGACAAAATGCTTGAGTTTGCAGACAACTGGAGCAGCGAT